ATTATGAAGTTATTTAAAAGTTTGTAAGTTCAACTGTTTGGTTTCCTATAGCGAACAAAATAAACAAACTTCCTTTTATATATATATATAGATTATCAAAAGAATACAAGCATGACCTGAAATATAACTAGATGTGTTGGCAGTGTCCTCGAAATAAAACAAAAATTAAAAGTAACAAATATGTTTATCTCTTGCCTTTGAAGTTGAAAATGTTTATTTGATTAAAACAATTTTGTTTCTTAGTTCTATACACACACTCAAATTTACATGTTAATCGGTTGGATGATGTGCCTGTAATGTTTAATTATTCTATAGTTTATTTAACAAGCATGAAGTGATGGTCAAAATCGGATTGCTTCTAAAGGTTAATGTTGCAGTTCAGTTACGTATAAATCCTTGATTGTGTGACACATTTTTTTAATTTATTATAAAATTTCTTATTATTTTCTAGGTAGCGCTATTAATTTCCACGTTGGTTATATTGACTTCGAGAAACATCAACTTGATTAAGCATGTAACGTATTTTAGACATATGTTTTGACTTCAGTGAAATTTATTGTAAAAAATTATACTTCGATTTTTTTAATAATACTAATTTATTATAAAATCGTCTTTTAATATAGGTCAAAAGTAACTTTCAAGATAACTTTGACGTCGGATCCGAAGCTTCCTTACAAGGTGTAAGTTGAATTAGGTTCATATGATAAAATAAAAATAAAAACCTGACTACTGTTTATGTATTACTATTACTAATAAAGTAATAATGCAGTACTATTAATATTACTGTAATACTGTTATCCTGGTACCAAGGAATCCCCAATTAAGATAGTTAAGTTAAAAAAGATAGTAAAGTAGAGAATGTCACTTGATGCTATTACTGTTAGTATTAATACATTCCCAGATTGCCCGTGAAGAAGAAAGGTACACCTTTCGAAAGCACTCAGGTTATGGGGTTTTTATTCATTTCTATCAAGACTTCTTGAACTTGCGCGTTTTTCTAACATCATGAACGAGTATTACTAATACTATGCATTGTTTCATTGGTTAGGTACCTTTGCTGTTTGCAATATTTTTTCGCATGTGACCCCAGAATATCTTTTGATGTTTGGCTAGTTTAGGAGAATAAGATTAGTTCTAAATCCATATACTAAATTAACAATACATATAATTTTTATATAAAAAGATCATAAAAAAAAATAGAAATAATAAAATTAACATTATGGAAAACATAAACACTAGTGGTTTGTTTCATTGCAATATCAGTATCATAGATTTAATGATCCTTAACCTATTAACTGCTGCAGGAGCAGCTCAGTTGCCATTTTCTGACTCACAGATAAAACTGAGTTGCCATCAATCACAATAAAACAGTAATTATCATCATTTGCATGGAGTTATAGTTATATATGTGCAACTGACGGATATTTCCGTCATTCGCAGCTGAGCCATAGAACTTCAGTGACGGAAATATTCATCATCCGCAGTTAATGGTTAAAGAACTTGACATCTGTAAGTGCTAATCTGTGCATGGTCCACCCTGACAACATTATGTGACCAATGAAAGCTTATTAAACAGTTCCAACAATGTAACTGCTTGACTAAAATCTCAGGTAGTATAACAGATCAGATAGTGCATTAAATTTAAAACTAATGTTTATGAAGATAAAAAATAATTAAATAAAATCATACAGTGAGAAGCAAGAATATAAAGCAGTAGCATGAACACTAGTATAATATCTAATAATAGATTATGATCCCAAAAAATCAGTATGTATTACACCCACTTGTTGGGACAGTGAATACATCTGTATCTTTTTTTTCTAATTTATAACCTTAATGTTAGTATTAAGATATTACTTTTAAACAACTTCTTATAAGAGAAATTAGTAAGTTACATCAACTGATAAGAATAAAAAACAACTCATGTGCAAAAATCTTTGCACTAAAAGCCAGATTTTTCTGAGTATATGAAAAGTTTGAATATTTACTTTGCATTTTTATTGATTACACATCTATCAAAAAAGGTGGTTATACAGTAACATGGCACATTTTCTAACAAAGTGAAAGCTGGAACCTTTATAATATTGTTTGAAAAGCAGAATAAAAGATTACAGGTTACTTTAAGTTGTTTGTCAAGTTGTAATACAAAAAAATATGTCATGAATTTTTATTTTTTATTTGTACTCAGTACATGAAATTAAATAGTAATTCAAACTGAATAAGTTTAGAGTAAACAGATGTATAATGTGTTTTATTGTTGTAGAACAACAGCCAACACTTGGTGGTATTGTTTGCTATGTTTCTGTTGCTTTCAGCAACTTGATCCAAGCCCCTATAAGCAGCAAACATGTAAACAAAATTGTTATGAAACAGTTGCCTGTGTCTGGCTGTCATTTATCAGTTTTATAAATACGTATTTTTGTAAATTACATTATGTATATAAATACAGTACAGTGATGGTTCTTAAACATTTTAAATTATAAAATAGTTCATGAACTTATTTTCTTTGTTTTGTATTTCACTGACTATCTTTGTTAATTTTGGATTAATGAAAAAAAAAGGCAATTTTCTTTAAGTTTACTTAATTAGTGGTTTGTTTTTAAAACTGTTATTGTTTCATTATTTTGTTAATCTTAATAGATTGAAAATTATTCAGGCTTCATGGTTGGTAGCCTTGACAAGCTAAGTACTACTTTTTTTCCTTATGTAATATATTTCATTATTTTAAACAGTTCTTTAACAACCTTAATTTTCTGTACAAGTATATTTTTCATATGTATATGTGTGAACATTTCACTCCCTCCAGATTAAGTGTTCCTGAAAATACCCCATTTACAGCAGTATTAAAGTTTGCTGCAGAAGAGGTAAGTGATATTTTACCTTTGTTTTATTGAATGAAGTTTACGTAAATTCCACTTAGTTCAAAATATGCCTTAAACCCATGTTACAAATAAATTAATAAAATTTACAGCTCAGTTACTTATTCTAGTTCACACCATAACAGTTGTTGTTCATGAAATTAATTTTGTGAATAGTGCCTTGACCACTACTGTGTCTTTTGTATTCAAACCAGCCTGATGAGCTCTGATATTGGGTTAAAGCCTCATTGGCACTTTTTATTACAAATTTAGCATGGTTGACATACTCTTGCATGTTTTTGTTTGTTTTAAGTCATCAATTCTTAGAATTTCAATGTTATCACTAGCTATAAATGGCTTATACCCTTTGTCACTCTGTTGAGAATGCTTTTATGCTCCTTTTTTGGTCATGCTCAACAATATACCTCATCACTTAGCAACAAAAGTATCACCTGATTGTTCTTAGGCCAACTATGGTGTTTATGTTGAATGCTCAATATTCATGTTGATTTGTTAGAAAGGTTTGTTTTTTTATTCTTTATTTTTTTATAACTTTGGTGATGTAACAGCAAAATAGTTTAATTCAGTAAGTTTTATGACACTTGAGTTGTAGCCATGTAGTGTTTCAATTAGGCCTTATGATACATTTACATTGTCCTATTGCTTAAATTAGACTACAAATAGGCCTGCTATTACTAATGTTATAGTCAGTGTTTAAAAATGTTTATGTGGGAAATAAACTTTAATTAATAAATATTCATTTAGAATTTTAACATATGTATATATATATATTACCTACTTAGCCTTAAAAAATAAATGATTGTTACTACCAAATAGCTTATCCTTTGTACAGTCAAAAAAAAAAAATTGTGTCAGAATGTCCACACTGTTTTCTAATGCCTAATCTAGAATACAGTGAAAATTCTCAAGAGTGCTGTTTAAGTCTCTTTCAGAGTGCACACGTACTTTTGTACACAGTAACATTTCATTTTTCAGTATAGTTTTAATAAAACTGTGGTGATTAAAGAATTACTTCAAGACTGATGAAATAATTGAAGAGTATGTGCATTTTAGTTAAATTCTATAATTTTCGTTAATGATTCAGCAGTTGTTTCCTGTCATTTTTGATGGGCTTTTATACTAGTTAAAGTATAAAAATTTAAAATTAAATCAGATAGAAAATTATTTATAACATTACACTTCACTATTTATTTTCTTTCTACAAGTGATTTGCACCAGCTAGTAAATATTTCCCAAAGTAAGGAATTAATATAATTATGTTTTGAGTATGGAAGAATTAATCTGATTTATTTTAAAAAATCAAAATTGCATTGCGTTTCTTAAATAACTATAGTCTCTTCATATGAGAGATTTTCAGGTAAAACATATTAAAAGCAGTTATAACTTAACAAATCAATGTGTTAAAAGATTATAAGTAGATTAAACTAATTATTACATCATATACATATATTAGTGATAATAAGTTGTTTTTTTATAAAGAAAAGTGTTAGCTTCTTGAAAATGTTAACTTTTGTGTTTTTTTTGCCTGGATTTGCCAGTTCAAAGTACCTCCAGCTACAAGTGCTATTATTACAGATGATGGAATTGGGATTAATCCATCTCAAAGTGCAGGCAAGTATATTTTGACATTTATTTGTTACAAAAGATAGTGACTAGTATTTATTCAGATAATTGTACACACACTCATGTTAAGTTGAAAAATAAATTTCTATTGGTATATCATGAGAATATCACTTTGCAACACTACATTATCAAACATAAATTAGGGTTAGCATGAAGAAAGTTTCATCAGAACTCAGAATAAATTCACTTTTAAGTGGTTTTGGTTGTACTATCAGTTGATAATTTGGAACATCTTTCATATATTCTTCTCTACATAAATTTCCCAAACATTACGACTTGTGTTAATAATACAGACTTGTGAGCAGTCAGTTTTTTTTTTTTCCTGTATTTAGTAAGGTGATAGGAAAATAAAATGATGTAGTACAGGAGCAAGACAAACAATAATTTTTCAGATCTTAAGATTTGGAGATATTTATTAAAAAGCAGCAGGAAACTCTTAAAATTTTATATTAACTTAACTTTGATTAATTCTGAAATAATAATGTGTGCATTTAAACAAAATGTGGGTATTGATATGTATGATTCTAAGAGTAATAACCAAAAGGCACCTGGCTTTAGGGGAGAGAGAAGGTGCTTAAACTTATAAAAATTCTTGTAAAGTATAGAAAACACCTGATTGGTACATTGACGTTTATAATATTTTACTTTCCCTAAACAGTTATATAAAAAAAGGTTAGCTAGGAAAGCTAGTTACTTCACTATCTAAGGAGAAGCATTTGATTAGCAAGCAAAATGGTAAGTCATCATGTGGAGCAACATTTGATTTCCTTACCAATCTACTTTGCAACAGGATTATGGCTGATAGTCTCCATTCTCTTACTTCTATAGCTACCCCAATGCGTCAAGTCTTTATTTGATTTGTCTATTGCCATCTCTCAAACTGAATTCAATCCAATTTTTTTTTAAAGCAAAAAGGTTTAATTTTGCTTCTCATATTCCTTTTTATTTGTCCTGTGTTTTTATTTGAATTCACCAATTCATATTTTTCCTCCCATTGTTTGTTGCCACTTCCAAAAGTTAGTTCAATTCACTTTTTTTTTAATTCTCAGATTTGTATTTTTCTTCCCATATTCATGTTTGAATTTTTTTACATGTGCCAATATTTTTTTACCTGTTTTGTTTGATGTCGTTTCTTGAACTTTATTTATTTAGGTCTGTTCCATGGGTCTTGGGAAGCCCCGATGCTTTTGTTTCCCTATCTGTTGCCTCTGACTGGCTAAGAAATGTTTGGCCCCATACGTTATTGAATTTTGTTCATTTTTTTGGTAAAATATGTCCATTTTCTCCCAATTTTGGCACATGTTTTGACCATTTTGTTCTTTTTCAACATTATTTGGCAGAAATCCTTCACATATTGTTCATTCAGTAAGTGATAATTAGAAAAAAATATGATACTTTGTTATAGACCTTCAGGAAGCAGAATTATAAGACTTAAGGGCAAAAAAAAATTGGCCATAATTTTTTGAGTCAAATCTAAAAAATAATACCCAGGCACAACGCCCTCATAATCTCCTTAGTATACTTGCAAAGTTTGAGGTCTCTAGGTTCTTTCCTCTTGGAGCTATGGCAGTCACACACAGACAGGCTTTTATTATTACAGTTTGACACAGACCCCCATTTGGTATCAACAGTTTTGAACCAAGTAAAGCAGTATACTACATTAATGCTCCATTTTCCAGGTGTTTTCCTCACAACAAATGACTTTCCCAGACTACCTAACATTCTGCGGATGCTACTATTATAATTTCAGATTTAGGGATAGGGCGTTTTCCATTTATGTTTTTAAAAAATTGCAATTCAAGATATAAATGATATTACTATTTTTTCAGAAAATATATTAAAATACTGAAATTGTCAAACACCTAAATAACTGAACAAACATTTGACTATGTAAGTTTCAATGAAGTGAAAAAACTAAAACAGTACAGGTTCTGTAATATCATATTCAAAAATTTTTTAACGTAATTGACCTAACAACATATAGAAAATTTTGAGTGTACTTGATATGCATGCCTTCTTTGATATTTTAGAGATGCTTTAGAAAATAAAAGTCAAAGAATAATTGTTTATTTAGACTTGGTTGTGTCATGAAATATGTAAAGAAATTAAGATCACAGTGATATTTGTTAGTAGACTGGGAAGCTACTCATCATAAGTCATCAATAGAAATAAGCAGTAATTAAAAAAATATTAATACATTTGCCTTATCAACTGTTCAAAAGCCTTGTTTAAATGCAGTAATTTATTTATTGAAAAGTTTTAAGTGGTTATTACTTTTAAAGCTTGCATATTTTATTGCACACTGGTAAAGCAGATGTAAACACTTGTAAGAAAAAAATGGATTAAAAAAAATCAGGATTGTTATAGAATCATATAACATACTAGCTTGTATTACATTAATAACTTTTAAAAAAAAGTGCTTTTTATCTGCTTAAAATTGGTAATGCAGAAAATAAAAAACTGGCATTTTTAGTACAAGTCAATCAAAAATCATGTTTTTAATAAAGCATATTCAATGCTAATAGTAATTTTTCTGATACCAAATGATTTATCAATTATATGCATGTAATAGGCAAGTTTAAGGTAATATATGAAGGCTTTTGGTTCTTGTTGTGTTAGACATTGGGTAAAAAAAAAAATACCTTGTCATTTCTTCTTTGAATTCATATCAATATATTTTTTTACCTTGCATTGAAAAGATTTGTGTACAAAAATACCACACCACTATCATATGTATTTATTGCATTTTCTGTGTCGTTACTGTTCACTGAACTGAATTAACTTTAATATATATTACAGGAGACATCTTCCTCAAGCATGGTTCAGAGCTCCGTCTAATTCCTCGGGACAGGGTTGGAAGAATATGAAGAGTTTAATTACTTTAAATAAACATGATAAAACAAAACTGAAACCTGTACTGATATTTCTCAGTTGTTTTACACCACGTAAATACAGTCTTTGTATGTTTTGTTTGTAATATAATCATTTTTTAAAATTGTAGAAGTTTAAAATTAATCTTTGTTTTTATCATTTTAAAATTAATGATCCAAATTATTAGTGGTATTTTCACTAACAGTTAAGCTGTTAACTTTGTTATGAAAATTTTAACACTCCCTAAACGTATTTATTTATATGGATAACTTTTCTACAGAAATATAAGAGCTGGTTGTAAATTTTTTTCAGTTGAAGTGGTTACATTTTATATCCACAAAATAAAATGTTGTCTCAATATAATTATTTTCTCACTGCTATACATATCTGTATCTCAGACTGTGTTAGTTAAGAAGAGTTTAGAAAATGATATATAATCAATGGAGAGTTTTATATTTGCATAGTTACAATGTCATATTAAAAAAAAACTTGTTTTGTTTATTTCTCTTAAATGTAATGTGTTTTAGAATATACTGTCTAGAAGTTCCTGTTGGTGTGGAAGATTTTCCCTATAAGAACTATTTCCCTGACCATAGCAAGATACATTTATAGTATTAACTTTATTTTTTCAATTGCAATTAATCTGTTAAATTTTACAAGTCCTACTCAAAGATCATTATTTAAAATATTCATTTCCTGATATATATATATTTTAAATAGAGCTCTAAGAATTACATTATACAGTTCACTACATCTAATTAGGCTAATTAGATCTTCACAAGTATTACAATATAGGGACACCAAAATTAAAACAACTGGACAATATTGTACCAAACAAATTCCCAATTTATTTAAAGGACTAGGTTACAGAATGAAATTTGAATTCATAACAGTATATTACTTTATGAAATTCATCCATTTTTTAGTTTGACCATCACGGTGAATCAGTAACATGACTTACGTGTAAAGAGGGTGCTTGGATTTCATTGCCAAGAGGTTAGACTAATATTGTGATGGGAAAAGCATTTTATTGTTCCATTTGTGCTTCACAAAACTTCAACAAACTTGATAATAATATATGTAAAATATTTATGGAAGGAATAAAGTGAATTGGCTATTACTTTTTATACAATGTTAATTTTTCAGATTGAACACACACACCAGTTTGAAACCAAAGATAAGTTAATTCACATTTGTTTTAAACGGGATATTAACACGTGCATATAACATTTAACAATATATTCTCACAGAAATAGTCATTATGTGAATTGAAAATACACTATACAAAATTAATAATAATTAGAACTGGTAATAATAAGAGTTATGGCAAGATAAGTTTAGTTATAAAACAAATGTTAACTACCCATCTAGTTTATTGTTATGCAAATTAAGCATCTGATGATCAGCCATGTGATCTGAAGTTGAAATGAGTGCTTAAACTTGAAGAGTTTGTTTGTTTGTTTTTCGAATTTCGCGCAAAGCTACGCAAGGGCTATCTGCACTAGCGCCCCTCATTTAGCAGTGTAGGACTAGAGGGAAGGCAGCTAGTCATCACCACCCACTGCGAACTCTTGGGCTACTCTTTTACCAATGAATAGTGGGAGTGACCGTAACATTATAACACCCCCACGGCTGAAAGGTCAAGCATGTTTGGTATGATGGGGATTCGAACCCGCACATTGCGAGTCGAGCACCCTAACCATGTGGCCATGCCGGGCCAAAACTTTAAGAGAATCACACAAATTAAATGTGCTCCATATCTCAAAAGATGTTTCATGTTGAGAGCCAATGGATGATTGAAGTTCAGTCAATATTGTGAATTTAATAGAAGAGTTCTCAAAATTTCATTGAAAAATATAAAATAATACAGTTGTTTGGACACCAAACAAAATAGACAACTGTCAACATCACAAGCTGAGAACTGCTGTCATTTCTAAATGTCACATTTGTAGTGTACTTATTATCATATGTTCACAGCTGCAGCCAGACAAAAACTTCACAGAGTCAGCCTCTTTGCCGAATACCCAATGACACATGTACCATCCACAGTAAGACATAGAACTCACCTATAAGAATGCCAAGAATATGCCCATTAGCTAAAACTTTTTCAAGTGATTAAGGGTGCTGTGTGTATTTTTTTGCACAGCTTCAGGGTGATCAGCAGCACCCACCAAGTTAGTGCTCATGCTCTTGTCACAGATGACTTGTGCTTTATGTTGCAACCAGATAACAGGAGTATATATACATTTGTAGTCTGAAACTGGATCCAATTTATGTTGCAATCAGATAACAGGAGTATATTCATTTTTAGTTTGAAACTGGATCCAACCCCATTTTCATACAGGAACATGACATATGGTATGGTACTGGAAAAAAAATTGGCCCCACCCATTTGTGGCTCAGTGGTAAGTCTAAAGGCTTATAACACTAAAAACCAAGTTTCAACACCTGCTGTGGACACAGCACAGATAGCCCATTGTGTAGTTTCGTGTTTAATAAGCATTGAAAGATGTATTGACCTGCACACTCAGGGAAATTATACAGTTAGTGCTACACATCATGTAGACCACAATGTATGATCTTTTGTGCTAAACAGATAACATTAAAATGGCCAACACATTCCTTGTAAAAGAGGGGAGTGGCCATTGGGAGTATAGGGATGCTTTGGAAAGATGCATTATATCTTGTCAAATAACTAGACAGTACAGATGTCCTGGAAACAGCACTTTGAGAGAAGTGGTGACAGGCTGCCAAGACCACATCAAGTATCATCAGATGTCTGATTTGCATGAAAAGTATCAATTTCAAGGTGTTAAGAAAAAGAGATTCAACACTATGGATAGTGTGATATGCAAATTTGATAGCTGTTAACTTTTCATAATATAGAAAACAAAACATTTTTATTTCGGTAAATTTATAAATATTTAGTACAAAATGCACATGTTTAGCTAGACAGTCTCATGATCAGGGACAGTTCAGTTATATCTGCTTTTAGGTAAGTCTTTAATTACTTTACCATTGACCACAGAAATGGACATAAGTAGTGATAGCCCCAAAGAAAACTCTGTTTTCCCTCTCTGTGTTAAGAAGAAATTCTGGGAAGTCCTGACATAGTTGAAATTATTTTTGGTAACGTTAAATTAATATATTTTTAGATACCCTAAACTTGGGATAATTTATGTGTATATTATTAAAAACTCTGTTTTCCCTCTCTGTGTTAAGAAGAAATTCTGGGAAGTCCTGACATAGTTGAAATTATTTTTGATAACGTTAAATTAATATATATTTTAAATACCCTAAACTTGGGATAACTTATGTGTATATTATTAAAACTGCTATGATAGGAAACAATGTAACCATGGCCTGAATATTGGAAATTCTTCTTCTACAGAAAACCATCCCTCAGTCAGGCTATTAAACAATTTTAGATTGGTTTACACAATATAAATAACCTGATTCAACTGTTTTTCTTTGTTTCTTAAAGCATTATATAAACTGTTTTAATGATATCACTTTAAAAATCTCCCCAACTGAGCTGCATAAATACACCTTAAATGTAATTTTACAGACAAAAAAATCTCAACAAGCTATAACAATCTAATTAATTCTTCAATGTTGCAGTTTGTAGTTTCAAGTGTTAAGAGCCTTTAACAATATGAATGTAATAACCAATTTTCTTCAGTACATAACTTAAGAAAGCTATTAGTATAAAGACAAGAAATGTAATCGACACACTTATGTTTCCACCATGCAAAACAAACTGGAAAACATTGCAGAAGTTAATTTGACAAAATTAGGATGAAAGCAAAAAAAATTCCAGAAACCAACATTCTGCTCAAATAACTGAGAAAACATCCATATACCATCTTTACTTCTTGTCTTACATGACAGCCATTAATTGTCCAGACTAACTTTTGTTTAGTAGAATAAATCTTGAGACTAGCTTTATTACTCCATATGATAAGAATATATTCATATGACACAGGTTTAAATATGTGTGTGTATAT